TCTTGTCGGCTCCTTCTCATCTATGGGGACCTCGATCAATTCCTCGACCAGTCCCGTCACTGTCTCTTCACCTGGGAGCCTTGGATCTAGATCGAATTCCTCTGTCTCGGTCACCACCATCCTCATATCCCTCCTCGCCTATCCCGACTCAGCATAATGGCGGACTATATCAGAATGCGTAAGCCTAGACCTATACTGGTTTCCTCTTACTTTTCCAATCCCGTTAAGAGTTGGGAACTTCATCATATGATGATAGATTGACGTTATGGCTTTCAGAGCTATCAATGTCCGTCGTCCGATGTCTGCATTGTACTGGTCACCTCCCTTCACATTAAAAATTTTAACATGATGGTTGAGGTGTGGTCGGTCACCAATCGTCACTGGTAGTTTTAGTATCCCCTAAGGGATTACACAATCCCCAATGAAGCCGTACAAGGGTTGTGTATTACTCTACAATCTCGTTCGGGGAATCCCCATCTTTTCCAGGTACTCGGCGTACAGAATGTCCACCGAACTACCATTGTCAACTAGGATGCGGCAAACCGTGTGGTTACCGATCATGGCTTCAACAACGAGAGCATCATTCTGGGGGAAATGCACATCGTTAGCGTCTGCCTCTAAAAATGTTATTTTGGCCTCTTCATATCTCGCGGCCTTGACCTCTCGACCAGACACACTCATGACTCTCCAGTTAAATTTTTCCTTCGTTTCTCTAGCGTACTCCTTTTGTGCGTGGTGAGAAGTACCGCCGATATATGGCCCTCCAAAGATTATTCTTATCACACCGACAGGTTCAGGTGGATTGTCTTGTCTTTAATCTTCCTGTCAGTCGTTGTTTCACCAATTGTTGTTGCTCCATCGGTTGGCCCTGTATTCATTAAGCCTCCCCTCACGGATCAATCTTTCGACCTCATTCTTAAGATCAAAGCATTCAACGATCATATGTCCACTCTCACCATGAAATCTGCAATACTTGCACTGATTTCTTCGCGTCGGGTCAAATTTGAGCGGTGGTGGTTGACGCAGTACTTGGAGGTGACTTATCTCATGATAAACATCCTTAATCCCCATGGTTAACGGGGTGTAGGCATCGTATTTATGGGGCTTGAACCACTTGGTATCCCCCTGGCCTGTTGAGGCGTTGTTGCCCCTGTTGTTCGGGGTTGGATTATACCTTTGCTCTGCCTGCACATGAGGATTACCTCGGCGCTTCTTGCCATTGTTCTGGCTACTCGGCTGCTTGGCTTCCTCTTTTGCGGGGACCACCACCTTGCTTTTCAAGGCCTTTTTGGCCTCCTCTACATTAATGAACCCCTGTGCTCTTGTCAGGAGTTCTTGATAGGTCTGTGGCGGCTTCCGGTCGAGGTCTGTGTTGTATGGGATGTCCTTCTTCATGCTCGATAGGGCCCCCATCAAAGCCACCTCGTCAGTCATACCAATCTTTCAGGGACTCATTTGGTCCCTGGTAAACCCTCGAAAGATTTTATTTGGGTGGGATGTACTTTTTGACACCTATGAACTGAGTCAGAAAGGCGTTCGTCAAGTCATCCCTGCTTGTAATGGAATTTGGTTTCAGGGATCTGAACCATCTTCTTGTGGAGCCAAAAAGATGGTTTCTGAATGCCCGACACATGACCTCCTTGGGGTACCCATGAAGGACCATGTGCCCCGTGTAGACTTCTAGGTGGTTGCCCGGATCATTCCTTCCATCGTATAGTGGAATGGGGGTGGCTTATACTTAATGGAATTTGGTTTCAGGGATCTGAACCACCTTCTTGCGAAGTCAGAAAGATGGTTTCTGAACGCCCGACACATGACCTCCTCGGGGTACCCATGAAGGACAATGTGCCCTGTGTAGACTTCTAGGTGGTCACCCGGATCATTCCTTCCATTGTATAGCGGAATGGGGGGTGGCTTATACTTATTGGGCAGCGGGACCTGAATGATGTTCTTTGTGAATGGGTGGTCGTGAGACGTGTATATCTTGGCATCGACGTTTACAACCTCGGCTACCTTTCAAACAACTTGCTGAAAGTTGTTTAGTCAACTCCCTATCTGCTTTTCTAATCTGACTATCTTCTTAGCCAGAACCTTATTCCTGGCCACGAGCTCTTCCTCTTTCGTCCGTTGTGTATCTTGATCACGTCGAGCGTTCAGCTGCTCTCTTACGTCCCCACCGCATACGGACGAAGATTCTACCGGAACAACATTTTTCTAGTTTCTGTTTTCCTGTGGTTGAGGGGGCACCTATCTGCTATTCATTGTCTGGGCTGCAGCCCTCTCCTGGGTTCTTTTTTTGGCGGCCCATTATCTGCTCCCTACAGACCTGTTTGACTTGGCTGGATGGGGGTTATTGTTGGCCCTACTGTCACCGACCCCCTCAGCGTCACTGTGTTGGTCACCAATCACTTAGTTCCCGACGACAGCATTCACTGGGTTCATCGGCGCATCCTCCAGCGACGGTATCAAATTTGGCCTTTGATCCCGTTCAACGAAGGCTGTAGCCATTCTTTCTACGGCCACAACGAGTGTTTCAACTTTTTTTTGAAGCAGGTCAAGGCGATCTAGGGGGTTTCCGGTGGATTCACCCTGCGATTAGGCTGTACTCTCACCGGTTCCTGGTTGCCGTTAGGTGGATTCGTCAGATTCCTCCCTTCAATGGTAGGATTCTGGCCTTCCTAGCTCTTCTGATTAGCCGTCATGCTGTGAGTCCTTCTTGGAGGCATGTTCACTACTTTTGCTGGATGCAAAGTCAAAGGTTCAGGCCCTCTTTCTAGCGTCAATTGTTGACGGTGAAATTTAGTCAACTAAAAAATAACTCTTTCCGGGAACACTTGTAGACGTCTCTCACGGATTAATCAAGAAAAATCCTTGCAAAAAATAAAGAACACAGAAGTTTATAGTGGTTTGGCAAGAATTCTTTGCCTACGTCCCCTTGTGGATGCACTAGTATATTATCGATTATTATCTGTCTTGTAGTAAAATAGTGCGTAAAAAACTTAATGGAGGAGGCAGACTCTATTTATAGACCTTTTACAGATTAGAGACCTCATCTCCACTTCCCGAGGGGATCATCCCCTTATCCCTAAATCTCAGAATTTGACAGTTGTACCTCCACGATTTCAGCGACCAAATCGAGGCAATCACCTTTATCGGTTATCTGATTTCGCGATTCGGATCGTGACAGTTTTTACAGTTTATCTTTTCCTGAGATGGCGGGATTTAATTTTGATTTAACCGGGCTGATCTCTCAACATCGTGAACTTCACGGCTTAGGCGGAGTTCTCGACGCATATCTTCCTCCTGCATGAACTCTCGTCGCCTTGAGGGCATCCTACGTACGATCATTTTCTCAACGTCAGTGACCAACTCTTGACTAAGAGCGTCTCGGTGCTTGGCAGCCAAAGGAGCGGTCGATTGCTCGACTGTGGCGCAACATGTATGATGATGGTTGTTGAGAAAAATGGTAAAGCTTATATTGGACCGAAGAATAATTTAATCGGATTTCTGCATCGAAGTACTACTGATTTGATAAAAAAAAAATCTAAAACAAATTCAAAACAAGTACATCATATTGTCCTAGCCATTGAAATTCACATGATGAAACAATAATCTGGATTTCAATCATGGACGATTTGATGGCAAAATACTGGTTGTGGATAACATAACGAGGGTGATGGTGATGTGGACTGATTTTTAGCAGCGGGGGGTTCCTCTTTCTTTGGTTCCTTGACTTCTTCCACACTGAGTAATGTCGCAGGTCCAACTTTCTTCCTTAGAGATCTGGTCAAGCTAACAGAGTCAATTTCATCACCAACAACCACCACTTGATCTTTGCCTTCTCCGCTGATCTGAACCGAGATCACTCCTGCATCAATGATTCAATCGTTAAATTAGTAATTTGTAAGTTCATGATTTGAATTTAAACCAAGATTATGCACTACCAATTATATGTATGTATGTATGTATACCAGCGAGAAAAAAGGAACTATTTGTGACATCACGCCCCCATTCCTTGTACCGTTTTTCTATATTAGAGATCCTAGCGTCTACAAATAGAATGGAAATTCTACTCAAAAATTGGGCTGAGTTTCACAGCCGCACAGTCTATTGACTAGGTAAGGACGTGAAGTCCCATCTTAAAAGGAGGGAAAAGTATCGTAACCGATGCACCACCACATTCTAGTACCTGATTCGACTGCGGCAACCTTCATGGCTTTGGTCCTGCATTTTTCACAGCTCATGTGCACCTTCACAACTATCTTTTGCTGCACATCACCATTATTGTTAACACTTTATAAACTTATACTCCTTGCTAAATGTTAAACATATGATTTGAAGAACTAAAGAAACAAAGATTTGAAAAAAAAAAATCCTTTTTTTTTCTTTTGGTGTACCTTCATGTTCTCGGGGAGAATGCAGCTAGGTAGCTGTAGGCTGGAACTCTTAATTAGAAAGAGAACTTCTAATGATGATGCGAGTCGTTTGTGTTTGTGAAAAAAGGCAAAACATAGTGAGCTCAATTTATACATGAGCCTAATCAGTTTTTAATCTGAACCTTAATTCTTTAAACTTTTTTTTTTTTTTTTGGCTATTACATAAATTCTTCTAACTAATTAAAGTACGTACGTTTGACTCCAGCTAGCTCGGTGGAAATTGTCTTACAGTAGTCAACTAATCAATTAATTAATTAAAAGACATCTCGATGGTCTTTGATAGAATACTATTGCCTCATGGCCGCCATTGGAATTTCCGCACATATATCATAGAATAATTTTTGTGCTTCGACAATTTAACCCAGGTAAGAAATCATCTTAGATATATATATTTTTTTTTAAGGAAAATCATTTTAGATATTGATAACTACTTTTTGCGGTTTCTCTAATATTTCGTGGAACTTATATGTAGTAATTAGGAATACCTACTAGTAATGCACATTTTAGAATAAATGAGGATAATACCATCGTAATCAAGCAATATACAAGTACGGTGGAACCTAATGAAAATTCTTACAGTTAAGCCATATTTGCTACTAGAGAATCTGTTTGAACCTCTCGCATGAATATTCTTTTTATTAACTCATAATGCTACTTATAGGTAAGATATCTCTCGATAGTGTATGTTTATAAACATCATATTGTATTCAAATTGAATGATAGTCTAATAGTTCATAACTGTTAGATAATGATAAAATATATGTTTCTGACCTACCAAACAATTCTCTTTTCAAAGATTTAGAAGGAAAAAAAAATGTAGTGTGGATGTGAAAAATACTATGGTAGTACTAGCTGGGAAGCGTACTAAATTTTTGACGTTACATTTGTAAAAGAATTCAGTTGACTTTTCCATACTTGTGAACGCAAAATAAAGAACTTGCAGTTGTAATATTAAAACGAAAATAGGTTTTGTTGAATATATGGTAGCTATACTTTGTGAATGCAACATAAAAAAAGTTTAAATATAGTTGAATATAACTCGAGAGTATCAAGGTATTGAGATGCTCTCTGTCGAAACTTTCTAAACCATACTTTGTGAATGCAACAGAAAAAACTTTGAATATGGTTGAATATAATTGTTTGAGTAAAATTCGTTATCATGATCATGACGTGAATTTTATATGTATTTTTCCCAATAGTAGAACATTCTCGTACATGTATACTTCGATTTTAGAACCTTTCAGAAGACAAAAAGTTTCTCTCTTCAAAGACTTGTGAGCGTTTACCTTTAATATGATCGCTTTGTTAAGACCACCAGCCAACAACATACACATGAGAATTCTACAGTTGGGTCGGGCATAGGATATACGCTTGTTCTTGAATCAGTATATCAGTATCAGATTATCTCAATTTTGAACTTTTTTTCCTTCTATGTTTTGACTTGATTTTGACTAGATCTAATTCTAAGCTTTATTCTTTTCACAACTCAAATTTTATTACTACAGTGTTTTTTCTCACAAATTTTTTTTTTTTTTTCTACAATGTCTTTCTCTCACAAAATTTTTTTTTGCTATAGTGTCTTTCTCTTACCTAATTTGAGTTGTGAAACATCTGCTACAAGTAATAAATATACACTACCTTCAAAAGCTTCTATAATAGTGACTGCATGCATAATTTAACAGTTAACGTTAATATTAGATTCCATCATCTTTCCACCCAAGAAGGCCGTATAATATTCCTTAATGATATCTATTCATCGTATCTTTATTAGAGAAATTGTAATATATATCTCAATTTCGATATCACAAAAATTGGCCTAAAACACATTCGGGAAGAACTGGCGCGCACAAGCACGCACTGCAGCGCGCACAAAATAGACCTCTCGGGTCTGTTTTGTGATGCCCGAGCGCTGCAGCGCACAGCAACGCGCGCTGCAGCGCACGGACGCGCTGCAGCGCTCACAAAACAAACCTCTCGGGTCTGTTTTACGATGCCCGTGCGCTGCAGCGTGAATGTCATCCGCTGCAGCGTAATTTGCTATCGGAAAACGTGTTTTCGTGTGTTTTAGTGATCTGAAAAGGTCTTGAACCATTACATCCATTTGTGATATGTTTTCTCTGTTGGAAATGTGTCCAGAAAGTAGGATGTAATTTGTTATTTATGAAATGACAAATATCGGATATCATTGTTTTGCTGACGTTTATAAATAAAATAAAGTTATGTTTTAATTCATACTCAAGAGTGTTAGTAATATTGCTTACTCCATACACTATTATCAACGAAAGAAGAGTCAGGGAATCCCTGCTGGACAAGCTCTTCTGATATAGTTTAAAATACATATTCGCAGTCTTAGGATCGATTGGGCAATCAAATCTGATTATAACTGTTAGATCGAACCATATGATGCTGGTCTCGGGGCATGGGAGTTGGACTCTGTGGTTGATCTAGACATGTTCACAACATGTTGAATAGACCATGTAACTAATTAGGTTAGAGCAAAAACCGTTTACAGAGCTCTAAACCTAATTATTACAACTTAAGTATATTTGTATAATTATCTCAATCCTGAAGTGAATACATAACTCGACTTAATTTCTCATGGTCTTTTATTCACCAATGAGATTAGTTCATAGTTTTTGAACAACATCTCGGCTATTGGGATCATGACATAATTAAGTTGGAGTTGTGTGATTCACAGATATGGAATTCGTAAGCGATAATGTCACCTCATGCTTTATTGATGGGTGTGTGAATAAATAAACCAGGCTTGGTATTCAATGATGGTATTCATTGATTAAGACATCGTGACATGTGCGAGACATCTTACGAACATATGTCTTTCTTATTCACAGTCATATAAAGGAGTTGAGGAAACAATGACTGGAATGGTAAAATGGTAATTTTCTATACCATTCTAGTCACTGATATTTACGAAGGATAATAGTGCATTTATTCTGTGGACCGTGTGATAAATTGTATTAACACCATCAGAAAAATAGCGCATATGAATCAAGAGATTAGTCGGCATCGAACCTTTAGTGGAGTCGTACGATGTCGTAATTAAATACGTCGATAACTTATCGGGATAAATTAGTCGAGTATTGTAATTCCATAGCTTTGTTCATATGGGTCCATTCGGTCTCAAGGCTAGCTCTAATAAGTGGGAAAATTGAAACTGATGTTTTGTTACATAATTGTGTTTAAATAAATTCATTATGTTATTTTTCATTTATTTGATAATTAAAAAATAAAAGGAATGAATTTGAATTTTGAAATTAATGGTGATTAATTTAAAATTCAAAATAGAATTTGAACATGATTTGATTTGGCAATGAAAGGGGAAGGAAAAATTCAGAAATCCCTAAGGCAACAGGGAATTCGGATTTTGATTAAAAAAAGGAAGGAAAATTCGGAAATCCCATCTAGGGTTTGAGTTTTCGAATTTCCTCTTATAAAAAGATATTATTGAAAACCCTAGTGGTGCCTAAGAAGAAGAAAAAAATATCTCACTCTCATTCTCTTCCTAGGGTGGCCGGATTTTGTAACAAAATTAGAAGGAAAATTGTTTCCTTAGGTTTTTGAAAAAGAGTCCACTCTCTAATCCCAAAACACTTAGAGTCATAGTCTTGAATCAACGAGTGGTTTGTGGTGTGATTGTGTTCATAAATCAACGGTCTTGTTTCACGGCAATTCTCCATCTCGGAACGTGAGATAGTGAGACAAGATCCTTGCGGCCATATTTGATCCGATCGTCTTAAAGGTATGATTGTCATTTTATTCCTTTATCTATAAACATATATCATGCATGTATCTCTCGTTGTGATTTACGTTTAATTTGGAATTAAAAGAGATGTGGAAATTTTTGAAATTTCCGCCTACAAGTTTGTTGTTGTTTCAATGATTTTTCACTTAAAAATCACAACTTGATCCTACATTCTCACATATCTGAGTACTTATTAACAATAGATATAACTATTATTATAAGTGCATCAGCATATAAAAGATAACCTTCAGATTGGAAAGGCATCTTTATGTGAAAGGTTGTAACAGTTAAAGAGGATGTTTGCATCCATGTCTTTAATTAATGCATTCAGAAAATACAAACTTATTATTGTTTTGGAACTCAATATTTTTTACTGATTATTGTGTTCAAGGGTTTGTTGCATCTTGAGGGTAATTTGCCATTAAAACTTATTAGCAAACTTTGAGAAGTGAGGGCAAATAAAACCTTAAAGGAAAGTATTCCTATACGCCTCAAACTCTCTTCTTGCTTTCTATATTCTTTTCATCTCCCAAATCTGAATTTCTCTTACAATCTTTAAGGTTTTAATCTTGCTGCAATGAAGGTTGAAAAGAACATGACGTCTTTCCTCAATCCTAATGTTCAACTTGATCGTTTTGATGGTACCAACTTCACCCGCTGGAAGGGAAAGTTGTTCTTCCTTCTCACCGTTCTTAAGATCGCCTACATGCTTGATCCGAAATTAGAGCCACTTTCTGAACCAAAGGAGGATGATTCCGAAGAATTGAAGACCGCAAGGAAGAAGCGTGGAGATGATGAAGTCATGTGCCGGGGTCATATTCTCAACACTTTCTCCGATAGGCTCTACGATCTTTACAACTCGGTGGAGTCTCCGGTGGAGATTTGGAACGCTCTCGAATACAAATACAAAACTGAGAAGGAAGGTACGGATAAATTTCTCATCTTGAAATTTCTTAAATTTGTCATGGTTGATACCAAGTCCGTTCTAGATCAAATACATGAATTGCAAGTCATTGTTACTAAGCTTTGTGAATTGATAGTTGAGATTTCTGAATCATTCCAAGTGGGGGCAATTATTGCTAAATTGCCTCAAAGTTGGAATTGTTAGAGAAAGAAACTCCTTCATAGGAGAGATGACATAATTTTGGAGGAATTACAAAAACACTTGACAATCGAAGAAAAGACTAAGTCTCGTGATTCCAAG